ATTTTCGAACAATTCTGGGAATATCGATGTTAGATCTTTAATGTGCACTTCCCGTTGTGGAGTCATGTTTGTGATTGAGTCGACTTTGTGAGGCGTGGTCGACTTTACCCTCTTCTCTTGTCGACTAATGCCGACTTTAATGCCTCTTTTTCTCCCTCTTATCATTTTACTACCGATTATCTCCCTCTGATGGGCTCAAGTTAGGCTCAGGCCTTTTCTCGTTTACTATCCTTTTGACCCAATCGCTTTCTTCCGAGGTCGATCTTACGGTTAAGAACCTTCATAAGTCGACGCGTCCTAGCGCTTTGATTTTTTCTTGTACTGATCTTCATTTCTTGACTTTTTCTCGTAGATTCCGAGTCCGACTCTATCTCTGGTTCCATGCCTGGCTCCCTCGTCCGTCAAATAGAAGAGTATTCGGGCTCTGACTCTGTTGAAATAATCGGTTCTAAGCTTGCAGTCGGGCAAGAGGGATCCCAGGGCTCATCTGCTTCTATCTTTGGGATCGACCATGATGCATACAATCAAGCCCTTCTGTCGGGCGATTTGATGCAAAATAAGGATGACCCTAATTGCGGTAGCGATTCTCCTCGACTAGCCCTCTTTCCTCGAGGTATTCTTCTTGGACTCTTAGATATTCCTGTATATAAGACGAGTCCCATTCCTCTATCGGTGTCGACTCCTTTCTCTGTACATCGAGATGTAACCATAGCCTGTCATGTAGTCAGATTAGCTATTCTTAATCCGTTTTCTTATGCTTATGCAGCCCAAATCGAAGGATTTAGGTCGTTCAGTGGTTTTTCTTCTGATTGGGGATTGGTCGCCCCAGGTCCCAACGACGTCTTTACTCACCCTCCTAAGGGCTGCTTCACTTTCTTCGTCGACCAAATCATGTTTGGCTTGCGATTTCCCATTCAACCCGAACTGCTGTCGATTAGTAACATGTATGATGTACCTATAAATCAATTTTCTCCCAACGCCATCCGCATTATGGTAGCTTTTATCATAATCTGTAGAATAAAGTTTGGCCATTTCTTGCCCGAGTTTCTCTTGGATTGTTATAGTTATCGCTTCATAAAGGATGCCCATTGTCTGGGTCGTCGTCCTTGCGTTTTCTTCCTCGAGGATCTTTCCTCGAATGTAACCGAGTGGAAGACCAAATTCTTTTATATTCGTCCTGCCTCCGGTCAATACCCTTTCTCCAACATCTGGCTTACCTCGAAGGTCAAACAGAGCAATCCTCGTCCTAAGTCGAGCCAGTTTCAGGACATGCTGGACGACTTAAATAAGTCCAGATGGAGTGCCCGTTTGTTGGTTAAGGATCGTGGTCTTCTTAATCGGTCAGCACTGACTAAAATGAGACGGATAACTGTTTTAATGGTTAAGTCACGGTTTAAAAATAGCTGCATAGACCAACCTTACAGTCTGAATCTGTTGCAGCAAATTGCCCAATCAACAAAGCAGCTTCTCTTTGGCTTTCAGAACAGGAGGAGCTGTTCTCACATTAGTCAACACATCAAATTAGAAGGCAAAAACAATAATTGAAAGAAGTTGCATTTGACAACATCGAACAAATAGAAAACAAAAAATTTAATTTGAAATTTTATAAAAAGGGGGTGCAACGAAAGGATAAATGAGGATGAGTGGGAATACATACAGAAATACTAGAAATATATTTGTTCAGTAAATGATGTCAGAACTTATAACATGCACTAATAACAAGAAAGTAACCACACACATACGTACACCAGTGCTACTACCGTGCACCTTGGCACACCTTGCAATTTTGCGTACGTACACCAATCGTACCTAAGTAACGAAATGACAGGTTGCAAAGCCCCAGCAGCAAGAACTTCTCTCTTGATGTTTGGAGATGAGTGCACTAAATTCCCAATGACCCCAACCTTCATCACGGGCATAAAGAACATGAGCACATAAAATAAATGGTAAATGAATCATGTAAGGTCCTGTGAGTAGACGTGAAAACATGTAAGGTGATTAAACATATAAAATAGCTACCGCTTCATAGTGTATGGCAGTATCCTCAGAATGCATCATCAGTATAAGAGTTGGCAGAGCATTGCATTCCACAATCTGAATAATATTCAAATAAAATATGTTACGAAAAACTAAACCGTTTGCTTCCGGACTGGGATAAAGTAGAAGATGAAAACCTGGTTTTTGTTCTCATCATTTTTAAAAGCAAGGGTTCGAAGGGCTCCAGCTGCAGCTTTTTGTACTTTTGAGTCGGCAAATTCAAGCAATTCAACAAGAGGTGGGATGCCATCCTCAACCCTGTGCACATAAATTTGAAGGTTAAAAGACACAGACAATATGTATTCAATCACAAGAGTTTAAAAAGAAAACCAACCTAACACGGGTTTTAATGTGGCCGTTCTCGTGAGCAAGGTTAGTGATAGCATTAGCTGCTTTCCTAATAACACCACTTACTGCCCAAGATTCTGAAACACCCCTATATCTCTTCAAAAGATCCACCAGAAAGGGTAGAGCACCTGCATCAACAATGTGATGTTGATGCTCGGGCTGAAAAAACAAACAAAATGTCAGTGGCACGTAACATTAAGATATTAAACCTACATTAAGTTACTGTCACGAGATATTCCTATCTCAGAATCTTACTTAAGTGGGAAGGCATTTTACATGTCTGAAAAGAACAGAATACTCTTCAACTATTGAAACTGTATCAGCAAAATATGAACTGAGTATGGTAATATTGAAAAAAAACCCCATTCCATCTTTTTAGCACGAGTATAATAAAATCATTTTTGGGGTAAATAAACACAAGAAGTACAAATATTTTAAGCAAAAGAGGCATGTTTTGAGAATGGCACGTACTGGCTCATACAACCAAATATCAGAGCCAGTTTTTTTTTTTTCTATTACGTTATTAAATGGCCGAGCACCAGAGTTAAAACAAACTATGTATCTAGCAGATTAAAGGAAAAATAAAAGAACTCATTGAACATTCAAACATGTCATGACCCCCATACAAGCTTTCAGTTTGAGCCCAATAGAATTCAAAAGCAACAAAATAATGAGAACATAATTGTATAACCAACTTACACATCCATAAAACTTTTTTCATAATTGGCTATGAAGAATAACCAAGGCAACATAAACAAAATAACTCTGAGGTACTGCAATTACTTTAATGGCAAGAAGCCCAAGTGTAAACGCGCTTGCTT